ATGTGTATCTCAGGGTTGAACTTTGGAGTCCTTGGGGTTCTCTAAGCTTGGTTGTTTTCTTGCAGACGTTTCATTACCCAACGAGGTAACATCTTGTAATGAAACATCTGCAAGAAAACAATCAAGCTCAGAGAACACCAAGGACTCCACTTTACAAAGAATTCCCAGAAAAACGGTATCGTGGGTACTTGGGGCACTGATGATGTTACCTAGCCTGGTAACGAAACTTCTGCAGGAAAACAACCAAATCCAGAGAATGCCGAGAACCCAACAATTCAGCCTGAGCTACAGATATTCTCTGCTATGAGAAAGCAATTTGTCTGGTTAGTTGGTTGGTTGAAAGTCAGGTGGACTAAAGTGCTGGGAGGCTACAAGGGAAGGTTTCAAGGGTACAATAATCCCGCTTTGGGATGTTCCAAAGGCATGTGCTCCTTCAAAGGATTACTGTTCAAAGCTCCTCCATCTTTCTTTTCCAGGGTTCCTGCTCTCCCAGTGAAGAATCTGAATGGAACTGGTCCAGTCCACCCTGCCTTGGCAGGTAAGGGTAACTAATGAGGTGAGCTGCAGATCATGAAAGCTGATGCCTTTTAAATAACATTTTAGTCAGAAAAGGTGCTCCCTTCTGATTTTTATTTATGTTCAGGGAAACCTTGATTTAACAGACCGTTTGGGAGGAAGGCGTGGCTGTTAAATGCAAAGGTCTGTTAAATCCAAACCTATGCAATTACCCTCATTTACATCATTTGCATCATTACAGAACGGCCATTATTCTATCATTTGCCTATGTAAGCCACTGATGTCAATTGATACAAATGATATCAGTTACACAAATTGTCCTGACTGCTTCTGAAACGGGAATCTCTGCTGTTGTCAAATGAAGTGAAAGTGGGCTGGATTTTGGGGGGCAAGTACAGGAAAATCAGTAAGTGAAACATTGTTCTTTGCATCCAAATGCAACAGAGTGGAAGTCCAGAGAATCACAATTTTCCTGTAATTATCTTTAAATTACAGTTTAGATTTTGTCCTGGCTCTCGAGGCTACTTACGTTTTTGGAGCACAGTTCCCAGCATGCCTTGGAAAGATGAAGGATGGCCCAAATGACACTCTGAGGAGGTGTTTCTCGACTGTGACAACTTTAAGACATGTGGACTTCAACTCCCAGAATTCCCCAGCCCGCATGCTTTAAGTTGTGTGGACTTCAACTCCCAGTATTCCCCAGCCAGCATACTTGAAGATGTGTGGACTTCAACTCCCAGAATTCCCCAGCCAGCATGGGGAATTCTGGGAGTTGAAGTCCAC